AATGTCCAGATGAGCATGGGATGTCACAAAGAGTATATTTACATAGGAGCATGTGGTATCACAGAGAGTAAATGTACAGATGAGCATGGGGTATCACAGAGAGTAAATGTCCAGAAGAGTACGGTGTATCACAGAGAGGAAATGTCCAGATGAGCAAGGGGTATCCCAGAGAGTAAATGTTCAGATGAGCATTGGGTATCACAGTGAGTAAATGTCCAGATGACTTTAGGGAATCACAGAGAGTAAATGTCCAGATGAACAGGGAGTACCACAGAGAGTAACTGTCCAGATGAGCATGGGGTATCACAGAGAGTAAATGTCCTGATGAGCATGGGGTATCACAGAGATTAAATGTATTGATTAGCATGGTGCATCACAGAGATTAAATGTACAGATGAGCACGGGGTACTAAAGAGAGTAAATGTCCTGATGATCATGGGATATCACAGAGAGTAAATGTACAGATAAGCATGGTGCATCACAGAGTTTAAATGTACAGATGAGCATGGGGTATCACAGAGAGTAAATGTACACATCAGTATGGGATATCACAGACAGTAAATGTACTGATGAGCGTGGGGTATCACAGAGAGTAAATGTACAGATGAGCATGGGGTATCACAGAGAGCAAATGTACAGATGAGCATGGGGTATCACAGAGAGCAAATGTACAGATGAGCATGGGGTATCACAAAGAGTAAATGTCCAGAAGACTATGGGGTATCACAGAGAGTAAATGTCCAGATGAGCAGGGGGTATCCCAGAGAGTAAATTTCCTGATGAGCATGGGGTATCACAGAGAGTAAATGTACAGATGGCTATAGGGTATCACAGAGAGTAAATGACCAGATGAGCATGGAGTATCACAGAGAGTAAATGTACATATGAGCATGGGGGATAACAGAGATTAAATGTCCAGATGAGCAAGGGGTATCACAGAGAGTAAATGTACCGATGTGTATTGCGTATAACAGATAATAAATGTCCAGATGAGGGGGTACAGATCAGCATGGGGTATAACAGAGATTATATGTAGAGATGAGGATGGGAAATCACAGAAAGTAAATGTACAGATGAGCATTGGGTATCACAGAGAGTAAACGTAGAGATGAGCATTGGGTATCACAGAGAGTAAATGTACATATTAGCATAGGGTATCACAAAGAGTAAATGTACAGAAGAGTATGTGGTATCACAGAGAGTAAATGTCCACATGAGCATGGGGTATCACAGAGAGTAAACGTACAAATGAGCCTGGGGTATCACAGAGAGTAAATGTACAGATGAGCATTGGGTATCACAGAGAGTAAACGTAGAGATAAACATTGGGTATCACAGAGAGTAAATGTACATATTAGCATAGGGTATCACAGAGAGTTAATGTCCAGAAGCGTATGTGGTATCACAGAGAGTAAATGTCCACATGAGCATGGGGTATCACAGAGAGTAAACATACAAATGAGCCTGGGGTATCACAGAGAGTAAAGGTACATATGAGCATGGGGTATCGCAGAGATTAAATGTATTGATGAGCATGGTGTATAACAGAGAGTAAATGTCCAGATGAGCATGGGATATAACAGAGATTTAATGACCAGATGAGCATGGGATATAACAATGAGTAATTGTACAGATGAGCATGCGGTATCACAGACAGTAAATGTACAGGTAAGCATGCGCTATAGCAGAGAGTAAATGTCCAGATGAGCATGAGGTATCACAGAGAGTAAATGTATAGACGAGCCTGGTATAACACAGAGATTACATGTACAGATGATCATGGTATATCACAGAGAGTTAATGTACATAGGAGCATGGGGAGTCACAGAGAGTTAATGTCCTGAAGAGCATGGGATATAACAGAGAGTTAATGTCCAGATGTGCATGGTAGATAACAGAGAGTTAATGACCAGATAAGCATGGGATATAACAGAGAATAAATGTCCAGATGAGCATGGGATATAACAGAGAGTCAATGTACAGATGAACATGGGCTATAGCAGAGAGTAAAGGTACATATGAGCAATGGGGAGTAAATGTTCAGTTGAGTGTTGGGTATCACAGAGAGTAAATGTCCAGATGAGCATGGGGTATCACAGAGAGTAAGTGTACAGATGAGGACGGGGAATCACAGAGTGTAAATGTTCAGATGACTATGGGGTATAACCGCGAGTAAATATACAGATGAGCATGGGGTATCACTGCGAGGAAATGTACAGATGAGCATTGGATATTACGGATGGTCAGAGTAACTTTACAGATGAGGGTGGGATATTACTGAGAGTAAATGTACAAATAAGAATGGGATATTACGGGGAGTAAATGTTCAGATGAACATGGAGTACAACAGAGGGTTACTGTACGAATGAACATGGGGTATTACAGAGAGTTAATGTTCAGATGAGCATGGGGTATCAGAGAGAGTAATGTACAGATGGGCATGGGATATAACAGAGAGTAAATGTAAAGATGAGCATGAGGTATAACAGAGAGTAAATGTACAGATGAGCATGGGATATAACAGAGAGTAAATGTAAAGATGAGCGTGAGGTATAACAGAGAGTTAAATGTACATATGTGCAATGGATATTACAGAGGGTGAATGGTCAGATGAGCATGGGGTATAACAGAGGGTAACTGTACAGATGAGGGTATGTTTGAATATATAGGATAAATTTGGTTTGGTATGACGACCAGGCGCATTAACTACTATATTTGTTGGTCAAAATGTGTTGGTCATGATTGGTGTGGTTTGGTTTGTGTGCTGTTTATCGCCGCATCTGTAATATTCCAGCTTTATTGCTGGAAATATTCTGTAAGTAATCAGTGATCAACATCATGAGGATCGATCTATGCAACTGGGATCTGAGCACACCAGAATTTGTCTTCACGTATTGCACCCATGTAGAGTTTTCCGTGTGACGAGCGAACGCTTTACATCTTGGGTACCCAAGCGCTCCTGAGGGTTATAACGAACTAAAATTGGTGGTCCCGTTGGTTATAACTGTAGTCTACTGTATTATTTACCGGAGTGTAAAGTCTCTTGAAAAGGACATGCTCATCGTGGTTTGTCAGGTCCATTATAAACAGAAAAGGTCTGAAATAGTAGTATACACAATTGGGGTTTTGCCGCAAATTTTCCTGAGAGGTTTATTTCGAAAAAGTATTGTCTTTTATCCATGAAGCATCGCTCTTGAACAGAGTTTTTTTCACTTAATACATAAGCTTATGTCGTGAGACATGCCATCCATCGTTTAGTATCGATGGGTGACACTTTTATAACGTATATGCATCCATGAGAAGTTGTAACCGTTTTGTTCCCATAAAAACCTAAACTGTCACACAGGGTGGTGAATTGTCATACAGGGTCATACAGGGTGGTGAATTGGCCTCGATTAATCACTCGACGTAGGGCTGAATAAATATTGAGGCCATCGACGTCCACTCCAACGCGCTTGAACAACCTCTTCTTTGAGTGGTATTTTAGAAGTTGGGAAGTACAATATAGAACAAACTTTATGGACAACAACTTTTTTTATTCGTGAGTGCAACGTTTCGATACAGATTCTCGTACCGTTCTCAAGCATAAATGGAACATGAAGAGGGGATATATATCACGCTACCCATTCCATTGATCGTTTTTCGTGCGTCGCCATTTCTTGGCGTAATGGTGTCTGAACAGGTGTTCGGCTAACGTTCGGTTGAATCTCTGGACGATGGCTTGGCTGCAATGCGCTCCCACCGTACTGCGACTAACCTCGACTTTGTGTCTGGACAGCAGTTGTGACATCGAGCTAAAACACTCACGTACTTGTAATTCTGCAGGCCACATTAAAGGGCTTCGTTTGCAAATATACTATTCACACTTTGCTATGCATCGAATCATGGATTCAAGAGAAAACTATGATGTAGGGTCAAATTTGGTTTAAATATCTATGCTTATTGTAAGCATGGATCCTAGGTCTCAGTATGTAATTGCATTTTGTGGATCCCATACCTGCTATTGACAGGTGTTGAATACTTGTCAGTGACTGGTTCCATGATTTGCAAAATGGCTGACTGGTGGCCTGAGAACCATGTTTATGGTTACTCACGTATCAGGTGCATAAGGTTAGATTAAAGTGTATGTTTGCCTAAAGAGGGGTTACCATATTATAATTTATCCAGTTTTAAATGGATACAATTTCAAGTTGTGGATTTTTGTGATCCTTAGCAAAGTGTGAGTAGTATACATTCCAGCGCCTTAGTCCACTTGAGCCGAATCTTTTGCTGTTAATGGTCCGGCTTCTTTGTAGCGCCTGGCCACATCCATCACGGTCAGGGCATATTTGTACATTTTGCGTCTCACCCAATCGTGCGGTAGAAACAAACGGTCGGTTTGATGAACTCAATTGGCTGTTGATACATTGAACTTTCTTCTCGGGATGTATGGAGGAGCTGGCAAGTAAATTTGCCATACTGCTTGTTTCTCCAACCAAGCCTTAGTGGTACTCTTCGGAGACTTTTGCGACTTCGGCAAGCTTGGTGACAGCGCTCGCTTCCTTTCCAGTAGCCTCGTGGGCTGTAGTAAATCTTATCCTTATATTGTTTTATTCATATTTATTCTTTAATAGGTAAAATGATTTTTTTCATTCTGAGTAGTCGATTACATTCGTTGAGCTAATCTTTCTTCTTGACGTCTGCTCTATGGGCTTTGCACAAACCATAATGGCATTCCACTTCAATACCGCATACTGAACACGTGTTGTTTACGAATCCATTTCTGATAAACATCATGTGTATGCCAAAGTATTCGGTCGTGCATTTCCTGTCGCAGGTTTCGGCTTTTAATGGGTCATTGAGCTTAATTAACCCGAAATAAACCTCTAAGAGGAGTTTGAGGCAAAACCCCTATTATGTATACTACTGAAATATTGTTGCCTGTGGCGATAGACAAACACAAAATGTCCATCACTAACTTTCAAATGTACATTCAGAGAAACACAGAAACATGAGCTTACCTCGTGAGCCTGAACAGTCGTAGGATCCTCCTTGTCTATACAGTCTTTAGGTATGAACTCATAGAAGTTCAGACACGGCAGGATTGTGTACTCCGTCTTTGTCTGATCCTCCACGTGCAGGTTAAGACCGTACAGACTCTCAGACGAGATATGGACGCCGGATGATAGTGGTACTCCTCCCAGAAAGTTCTTCTTCAGAAGCTCGGTCTAATGATAGAATCGAAAGCAAATATAGGCACCAACCATAACTAGTACTCGTCTTTCCAGGGCTTAGTGATTATAACAAGGAATTTGTTTAAGTGGCATTTAGAAGGTGGTGTGATGAACAACAAGGAGAGTTCTATGGATATACACCTTCTTTAATATGATATGAGCGACGTTTCGGTGTAGCTACTAACACCGTTATCATATTAAAGAAGGTGTATATCCATAGAACTCTCCTTGTTGTTTATACCAAGGAAGACAACAAGCGGTATCTTAAGCCTAGAGTACCTAATAGTGAGTGAGTGAGTATCGTTTTACACTGATTTTAGCGCTCTTCCAGCAGTATCGTGGCGAGGGACACCAGGACTCGGCTTCACACATTTTACCCATGTGGGAAATCGAACCAGGGTCTTCGGCGTGACGAGCTAACGTTTTAACACTATGCTACCCCACAGCCCTCGTAGAGTAAGGAATCTGACAGAGTCTGACCCTGTCATTGACCAACCGATCAACATTTGGTGCAGTTGTAAACCAAAGCGTTATCCATCCGTTTGTCCGCCCCTCTGTACACACACACACACACACACACACACACACACACACACACACACACACACACACGCAGATGGTTTGGTCTGAATTTGAAAACCATCAAGTGTCCACAGATCCATTACCAGGTGTCTTAATTATATACTCACAGCAAATGAAAAGGCTCCAGTTCCCGGAGCGTGGAGGGCTGCGAAGTTCGGCCACACAAGTGGACCGAAGTGAGAAGTTCCTTTACGAAATATCTTCCGAAGTTCATCGGCTCTTTCTGGATCTGGGGTCAAGGACGTCTCTAGTTTTTGCCTCATGCCAGGTTCAAGGTCAACGGTTTGGTTTATTGTCCCGGATTCGATATCTTCACACAACTGTTTCCAGTACTTCTGAATGGTTTTAAAGAAAATGAGCGCAGTCGGAGTTCCCAGTGAACTGAAGAGTGTCACGTATTTTTCTTTGAGCCCAAATAACGAGTGAAGATACAAAACCGTCTTCTCCTTTTCCATGGTGTACACTTCCGGTGGTGACGCAGAGAAGGGACATATAAAATATGCTGACCCACTTCCGGCACCCATAGGAACACCCAGATCTGACTTGGTGATGGACGGTTTAACACGGATATCATGCCATAATTGCAGCTTTGACATGTGTCGAAACCGGAACAGTGTGGTTCTGAGATAGACAAAATACATCCAACTCATTTTACCGAAACATTTCATATCCTTTGGATGTCTTTTACTTTTTCCCGAGGTTGTTCCCGAAGAAAGGACGATGTATTGGGGAGCTCCCGGAAACATGACATCACGCTCTCCATCAACCACACGAGACACGTACGAGTCATAGTGTATGTACGTGGTTAGTGGGTGCCTGGCGAGAAATTCCTCTACCGTTTTTATGTCACTGAATTTGAAATCTTTACCATATGCCACCTCTGCTCTTTGATTGAGGATGTCTCTGAGAAGGTGAGCCTGGGCGGTTTTCACGTCCTGCATAGGAGCTAGAATCTTTCTCTTGAGATGGTAATGTTGGATGAGGAGCTTCTTGAAGCTGACGTATTGTTGTAGCATGGAACTCCATGTATGGGAGTGTACGGGCTTGGATCTGTATATGTCTGCTGCTACCACTGAGGCCAACATGAATACAATGCCCACCAATCGTTCTGAAAGCATAAAAAGACACAGTACCTTGTAGTGGATCCTGTCAACCAAGGTAGGCAATTATGCACATAGTGTTTAAACGTATGTTTTGTTGTTTTTTTATACATTTTATTCCTTTCAGCCATTTACAATACTGCACAATTTCCACAATTGTTCATGACAGAAGGGGTAGATCCTTTTCCCATAATAGGTATAGTACACACCATATTTTAGCAGTTCTTTCGGCCTTTACTTTTAAATTTATGCATACTGTTGGTGTATTTGGAGATATATTCTTCAATTGATATAGTGTCCTTGAGAATTTTCACAAAACGTTTAAAGTTTTAAACTCGATATATAATCGTATATTTTAGCTGCTAGAAGAATGTGATTGAGGAACTTGCGTCCAGTATCAATACCCAACAGTATCTCAAAAACTGAAAAGTTTACATCGATATCACATGTTCTATGTATGTACTGTTTCAGGTTATTCCAAAACTCTTTAACACATATACACACAACAAAGACATGCATTATACTCTCAGGTTCAGACGTATGTTACTAGTATGTAATGAAGCGCAACAAATCTTCACTCACCTATAAGCAGGGCAAGGACGTTCTGTGACGAGGATCTGAACGTAAGATACAGGCCAAGAGTTCCAAGATGAATCCCGACAATCAGGACAAGGAATCGATTGAACCTGGAAACAGAAACAAATATCCACGAGGTGACTTCGGGATAGAGCGGGATCACTCACTAACTCACTCACTCACCACCACCATCTCCACATGTCATCGTATCCGAATTGCGTAGATCGATGCTCACAATGTTGATCACTGGACTGTCTGGTTCAGATTCGAATATTTACAGACCGAGGCCATATAGCTGTAATATTGCTGAGTGCGGCGTTAAACAACAAACAAACAAAACAAAACCAATATTCCTACCTTAAGTATAACAGTGCCATTATCCCCGTGTGCGCCTTGTAACTGCAGGTAGCTGATACTGATGTGGGTGGGACCCATCTCAATCCAGGACATATGGTCACGTGTTTAAATACTTGTTGAACAGGTTATCTTATATAAGTTGTTGCGAGGTCTCCTCGCCCTTTGTGAATTAATAGTGCAAATATTTTTATTTGAGTGAGCGGACAACGTCTGCCTTGTGTTATTCTGCATATGTCTTCAGACAATGCATGAATTGACTTCGAAGATGTGACATGTTTAAAATTCGCCTGGATTACATGTTTGAGTGGCATTTTAGAAGTTGGGACGTACACAATTCATGTTTCGCAAAGTGTGTGAGTGAGTGAGTGAGATTAGTGAGATCACTCACCAACTTCTAACATGCGATAAAATAATCAGTTGGAAGCAGTGGCAAATTCTGAATAATCATTGAGTGAAGAACACAACAGTGAGAGCAGTGATAAACACAGCAATTAAACGACACTTTAACCCAGTTTCGCATTGACAAACTGTTTCGCAACAAAAAAAAATGGGTTTCCTGGTAGACATCTGGCGTGGTTTCTATATCCAGGTAAGAAATCCTGCCACAACTTCACAACTTCTTTGCCAACAGGATTCGTATCAATTCGGGATTCGTCGTAACTTATTGTCGACTGTTTTCTTTTGTTTTCAAATAAAAACGTAGAACTGAGTCCTACTGTTTAGATTATAACCGTCATCTAATACTATATGCAGGTGAATCTGGCGTTATCCGGCTTACGGTGTGATGTCACTACGCTCTTTCTCGGCGAACTGTTATGTGAGGTTTGAATAAGAAGGGCCATGAATAGACAGCGACAACAGGGAGACCTTTGTAAAGGGACTCCCACTGAGAGAAGGTTCAACTGAAGTTTGGTTTTTTAAACCTTCATGTACTATGTCATGACAACTCTCGAATCCGCCCGTCTCGTGTCAAACACTCCGCAAATACTCGTGATGTGTTGTGAGCATAATATGTTTGCAACCTGCCTGGCCATGAACCATCTTCCTTCCATTATAAGGATTGCACTGATACCCGTGAAGATCCGGGTTAGAATTGATCTTCAGCAACCCATGCTTGTTTTAAGAGGCGACTACCGGGATCGGGTGGTCAGGCTCGCTGACTTGGTTGACACATGTCATTGGATCCCAATTGCTCACATCGATTCTCATGCTGTTGATCACTGGATTGTCTGGTCCAGACTCGATTATGTACAAACCGCCGCCATATAGCTGGAATGTTGCTGAGTGTGGCGTAAAACAAAACTCACTCACTAGACGTGGACTGTGTGAGTGTAGCAGTGGGTAAAACATTGTTTGTTGCCAGTAACAAGGTCACTCTGTGGCTGGTTCCAAAGCTGGAGGGTGGAAGATGTCATACTGATACTGGGCTGGCTCTTTAACTGCAAGATAGGCACTTTTCTTGCTGTGAGCCAAGGACTAAGTTTGTTGCGTGTCCCACTCGTGAGGCTGGCTGACCTCGACTTTGTTAACTGCTGAACATTACAGATTCATAGGAATCCATACATAGACTGCACTTCCAGCCGGGTCTATTGTGGCGATCCTATTCATTACGGTTCAGCTTCATGAGCAACAAGACTAGCGACACCAACATTATCCAAATTGTATGTCTCTGTTTGATGTCTGATGTTCGCGAATTACATTAACTTGCATACATTTTTATAAGTTGGGATGATGTTTAAAGTAAGTGCTTTTCGATTCGCCGTCCACTGTGATTAACGTGGGACCAATTCTATACATTAGTTTAACTTCACTCAATCTGCATCCTTCTTGTTCTGTGTGTCAAAATGTGACACAGCCTGTAGGAAAAGTTATATGTTATATTTACTGCTACCCGTGAAGATCCTGGTTAGAATTGATCTTCAGTAACTCATGCTTGTCGAAAGAGGCGACTGACTGGCTCGCTGACTGACTGGGTTGACACATGTCATCGTATCCCAATTGCGTAGATTGAAGTTCATGCGTAAAGGTAAACTCATTCACTCACTATTTACTGCTAGTATAGCTCACATTTTCCAAAATGCCGTTTTAAGTTGTGTTAATGTTTCAGCTATTATGTACAAAAGTGCACACACACTTATAAACTTTACATGGATTAAATAAATGTTTACCAGACCCACTGACTGTCTGAACATGGTTTATTACATGTCATACAAGTGAGTTTAGTTTTACGCCACAGTCAGCAATATTCCAGCTATATGGCGGCGGTATGTAAATAATCGAGTCTGGACCAGACAATCCACGAATCAAAAGCATGAGCATCGATCTGCACAATTGGGAGGCGATGACATGTGTCAACCAAGTCAGCGAGCCTGACCTCCCGATCCCGTTAGTCGCCTCTTACAACAAGCATGGGTTACTGAAGGCCAGTTCTAACCCCGATCTTCACGGGCCAACCTGCCCATGGAGCCTTGCAGGTGTCATTCTTCCTAGAGAACTATGCGTAATTGCGGCAGTTTCTGTGGCTGGGGATGACTTTGACGTACACGTCTGTGTAGCGCCTGTCACCAGCGTTCAATTTGTCTGAGATATGGAGACTTTAACAACGACATTATATTCTTGTTAAAGATGGTATTTGATGTTACCCTTCCTGACGCTTGGCACCAAGGGCACAAGACAAGGACCCGGACGCCCAGAATATCGGTACTGTGCACTGTGTACTGAGTCAAGTACCCACGTTAAACGGTGACATGGTATCCCATTGGGTCATCACTACACAACATCAGTCAGGATAGGTACAAGCAGATACACATACACACACACACATGCTGCTATGCAAGTGCAATATTCGTGAACGGTAGACCTACATCATGCATCCCTCCCCACAACTGGTTTATCAGATTGTACGCTTACATGTGCTCACAAATGCGGAATATATCGCCCACAATCAACGGGCCAGTTTAATACTAGTAACAAATCAATCGCACAATAGTTCACAAATATTATATTTATGTTTCGGACAGTTGCGTTAACCTTTACAAAACCTCTACAAGCGCTGTGTGCTAAAAGCGAAAAACAGCAGTGTTTGGAATCGGTTATAAAATCCTCCAAAAATAGACCCAACAAGAATGTAAGCACCATTTAACCTTCACAAAATTATTCTCAAAAGGATTCAGAGGAATTTGTTGAGAGTCTATGGTTCCTTAGGACGCCAAGTACTAAAAGAGTCCAAGGTTCTTTAGGGCACCAAGTACTTCAAGAGTCTCTTATTTCTCCATTCTCGGGAAAATAAATATTGTCACAGTTAACAATCACAACTTGTTTGCCAACAGGATTTGTATCAATTGTGATTTCGTCGTAAACTTCGGGTACTTGTACTGTTGTACTGCAGCCTTTGAGTTGAGGTCACAGCTGACCTGCTTGATGACGTCAAGCGTCCCGGACTTCACCTGGATCACTACAGGGTCGACATACACACTCGTGGAGCGGATTTCGTGGTAGAACTCAAAGTGGGATTGTAATGCAACGTCAACCTGAAACATTGTAAAGATCCTTCTCCAAGTGATTGAAATACTCAAGGCAGTCAATACCTTGTTAAAATAAACACCCTTTTGTGTAATATCATTTTCAGTCATCAAAGTCAATATAATATATCATCTGTTTGTTGTAAGGTGGCGTCAGTGCCTGTAGCTAGGGACTATACATGAGACTTACACATCTGTCAGAAAACCGACTTATTTGTATAGCGTCCCCGATGTAATGCATTGCCTCATGCTATGAAGGAACCCGTGAAGATCCGGGTTAGATTGATCTTCAGTATCTCATGCTTGTCGTAAGAGGCGACTAAGGGGATCGGGTGGTCAGGCGAGATTACTCTGTAGATGTTGTTGTCTGATTTTCGATATATATTACTTGCTTAATATTCAAGGAGTCAATGAACGCGCCTCTGAGCACCAGGAATGTTCTGCAACTGCTTAAAGCTGCGTCAGTCATATCTCCCTCACCCATTGAAACAAGGACATACCTTTTCTTTGTCTTCATCTGATAAGGTAGAGTCATCTTCAAGCTCCAGAAATATATAGAAGCACCGTTCACAGGAAACGTCACCTATATGTAACACACGTACATATTTACATACACATGCTACCATATAATTCACCCCTTCCCCCCTCCTGCAAAGTTCTAATGAATTAATGCTCCATTGCTTTAAATCGACTCTCACGCCCTCTACCGAATCCTGGTACGGGCTGTAAGGGAGATAATGCGTTTGGATACTGACTGTCTGAAGACTTGACTTGTCAATGCTTAATCACTGCTATTACATCTTAGATGATATACCATATGGAACTGTTATGAAACTTGGTACCTGTTACGTCATCGATGTGTTCGTTCATACATGCCATGTAGCTGTATAACGATGTTCCTGACCTCCACGTTCTAGCAGCGTCGTAAACGGCCTTCGTGAACAAGAACTCAGGGTACTTATTGAGAAAGTCAGAAGATCTGAAGAAATAGTGGCAACACGTTTAGCAGATTCATCTTTTCTGTGTCTGGGGCGGTGGGCTAGCCTAGTGGTTAAAGCGTTTGATTGACATGCCGAAGCCTGGAGTTCGATCCTAACAAGGGTACAATGTGTCAAACCCGTTTCTTGTGGCCTCCCTTCGTGATATCCTTGGAATATTGCTAAAAGCGGCATAATCATTTTGTGCTTCGGACAACAAAGATATCAAAGATATTCTGGTCGAAGAACACAACACCAAATTAATCGCTTCTAAAACTGAGAAACCTTTCTTAATTGTAAAGGAACAATACATGTAATGTAAATTTTGCAGACTTCATTACAGATTTTGATCCCATCTGATTTTAATATTTTTACACAAGTTTCGATTTTCGTTTACACAATTTTCTAGTTTTTTAACAAGCCATGTTATGTATGTTCGAGGCTCAATGCGCAAAAGGAATCTCAGCCCCAATGGGGACATAGCTCTACCGGGTACCCAGTAGCTATAAGCCACAGAAAGTCCCTAGCTGCAGGATATAAAACATCGCTTGTTGTTATGCATTCACATTCATCCTCCATGGAGAAAATATATTCCAAGCTACCAACGTTTGACGATGCGTGTGGTTTATGTATGGTGGCTGATTAGGGCCATCGCTTTCTCGCCTTAAAATTCGGAGGCGAGAAAGCGAGAAAGCGATATCACGAGACGAGAAAGCGATAACACGAG